ACAAAAAAAACAACAAAAAAAACATGTAGTTACGTTTTGTTTTGAACCTGAAGTCTAGTAACCTGTTGTAGTTCATCATCTGATGCAGATGACATTTTAAATGCAACTTAGTCAGGGCTCTGACCCCTTTGCCTTTTCCACTGTAAACCTAAGTCTTGGACCATACTTGACCTTCTGTCCCCTCTCTGCTGCACAGCAATGTAGCTCTTCAATGATGTGGATGCTCTAGAGTTATGATGACTGCTTCCTATTACTGCTGCTTTCATGAGCAGGGCTCCAGCTCTGTCCAATGATTCTTTGAGACTGTGTAGTATGAAACCCAAAACATGACTACATACTCAAGTTTATTCTATAGACATTTTTTAATGAAGTACCTCAAAGAGTGGTTGGTCCTTGTTTTGTCTGCAAGTAAAGAAACTTTATTCTCAGCCAAATATATAGTCTAAATGTATGTATAAATATATGTATGACCGAGCTGACTATAGGCTTTCAAATTGCATAACATCTGTCATGACAAAAAATGATCTGTGGCTTTGCTGAGGTTGGTTAAAATTCCTAACTCTACCAGTTATGACAAGAAAGTGAGAAACTTGTAGAGCTGATCATTTGCCCACTGAACAAATCAGAAATCTCATCAAGTCTTGATACTGGAAACGGTTTTCAGATGGTGAACAAACTCCTCTTACACACAAGTCTGGCACTTTGTAGCTTCCTAGTCTCTTGCTTTGCTTTCTGTACCATGCAAAGCATTGTACTCAGTAGTATCTGCAGATGTACCTGCTTTTGGTTTAAGTAACTGATCTGTAACTGCCTTGTTCCTACACCTTACCCACATAATTCTGTAAAAATACTTGCATAAAAGATTGCTAAGCCTTTTAGGTCCTTACTTAGTAAAACTTCAAAGTAATCAAAGGTATTTTAACACAGGAAAGCACTGTAACTGCAATTAAAAGAAACATGACAGAAAAGAATTCTAACAAAAAAATGATTGAAAGCAGCCAATCCGAGGAAAATGCGTTGGAAGTGTGCAGAAAACGTTGCTCTGGAAAGATGCCTACTGTGGAAGGAAAGCCACCTACAGAGAAAGGTACAATTTCTACCATCACTCAAACAGGTGGTCTTCCAAAAAAAATTTAATTACTATTCCAGAACAGAAGCAAAACGTTGTGAGACGTAAATGTTATGTTATGAGGAGGAAATCTACTGTGCTAAACTCTAAATGGAAGTAAAAGTTCTGTAACTATCATGTTTTCCACAAGGTCCTTTACTGTTCACCTCTAAATGTTTAAAATAAAAGCTAATTTTTAGATTCCTTCCTTTCTGCTGCTTTTTCTCACCTACTAATGTACTTGCAGATTCAGCTGAAGTTCTTAAGCAACTTCTGAACTGTTGTTTTTGTGCTAAACTTACTGTTGCTGGACTTCTGGGAAAGCAGTATCTCCTGCACAAGTTGTTTTAAAATTGTCTAAAGCAGACATCAAAGGTGTCAGTGACTTACTGAGTCATACAGTGTGTGCTGTGAAACTCGATGTTTTGTTCTGTATGCATGCTGTCAACACATCAGCTATGGTCAAGGGGACAGTGCTGGCAAAGGGGAAGAGCCTTCTGCTTGAAGAGAGGCAAGATCACCTGAAGGCCACAGATGGTATATTTTGTGCAGCTCTCACATTAGCACTCGCAGTCTTTTTGCTGTCCCTGCTTCATCTGCTTACCAGTCTTTTTAGAATGAGATTAATAAAATAACTGCAGGTGAAGACCTTCAAGCAATAAGGGTGAAATTTCAGATGACAGAACTATGATATTATCTATTTCAATAAAGTCTATTAAATGGTGAGATTGAGCTCTATGGAACCGTCTTGTGCAAAACTGGCGTTGGTGAGATCTGCCTGCCTCCAGCTTGACTTCAGGACACAGCGGGGCTTTAGTTTCTTGCACAACTATGGGAAGCATGTGCAAAACAATAAACGAAAGCTTCTCCCTTTTGTGTCTCTTGGTGTTTTGCCTTCCTCCCGCAGAACAGCTGCAAGTAAGAAAATCTTCCAGGCACTCTTTGGTCTGAGGGTGGGATAGAAAAAGAAATAAGGTTAAAAATGGGAAGCAGAAAATATCTCATCCCCATAAAGAGGGATAAAATGTGTTAAACGGAGACTTGTCAAATTAACACCATCAGAGAAAATCTGAGGATACAGATAGTGAATAAACAATGCTGGACTGTCTTTCATCACATTCTGCCCTGAGAGAACAAGGGAGTGGTCAGTCTGGTAGAGGATCAGTTTGAGGTTATGGAACAAAGCACTTCATGCAGAGGGTAGTGAACCCCTGGAAGGTGGGAGAAGCAGATAATTCTCAAATTCCAGTAGTAGTTAAACAAGCTAATGGAAGACAGGTTCCTACATAGACACTGAAAGGGTGAAGCGGGGATGTATTGTCTCATTCCTCCCATGTTGATGAGCCATGTGACTGTGCCAAGTAATGTCAGAACTGGGATTTTTCTGTTGGGAAGAACAGGCTATCCAGTCATGTAAAATATGTTTCTTTTGTGAGTGCTAAGTATATAAGACATGATTTAAAAATTGAGTTGTTAGAAGCTTCGTAATGATGAAATTTATTAATGTATATACTAATTTTTAACCATTCTCATAAAATGTGCTTGACACAATAGACAAATGAGCACAGCTACACTGTGATGGCTTTCTCACAGAGTTCAGACATGCTAGTGGCCTATGACTAAGCTTATCTTGTCCCATAAGAAACTTTATCTCATCTTGAGGTTCAGGCTTCTGTACTCGTCTCTAGGACTTGCCTCCCATGTTTTGGGGTGGGGCTTTTTCTTTCTTAGTACTTCCTACATAAAAAGCTTCTGCAATGAGTATCATGTATTCTTGTACTAATATTTATTCTGCTTTGCTGCATGATTGTAGTTTCCAGTAGAAAGCATCTAGATCCCTTCTAGATTATCTTGTGAATGATCATGCCCTTCTCACTCGAGGTGCTGGGCTAAGCTCTATGGCTTTTATTTTGCCACCTTAGATCATAAAGTATGTCTTAAGACACGTCAGCACCTCACCCTTTGAGTTAAGTACGTAAAATTAATGTCCAGTGTGAGGAATAGATAGCCTTTGTCTGGTATGTTTTCTTGGAACTACATAACTGGCCTTTTAGAGAAAACCATCTCCCTGGCAAAACATTTTAATCTTGTAAGATTTAGAAGCCAAAGTGAAGGTCCCGTATTGTCTGACCTAAGAGGAGCACTTGCTGTGTCTAATTGGAACAGAAAATAAAAGGGACAGAAAACTAAGGCTGGGGGGGAGGGGGGAAATATTCTGTGGAGTTTGATAACTGTGGAATTTGATAACTGATGATAATCAAAACTGAAACCTGAACTGAGATGGAAAACACCATTGCTAATGCTTTTGTATGACAGCCACTATAAAAGTTGTTGGATCTATTCAGAGGATGTTTTTAGGCAGTACATGTGTACCCATGTGCTTAATGCTTCCGAAGTGAGGTGACTGCTGAATTCCACCTTACTGTAGTTGCAGTACTCAAAAGAATCCCTGGTATACCCCTGCAGGTGTGACTACCTAATCCTTTAGAGGTAGTCGGGTTAATCTTAATACTGAAATACAGCTTGTGTGTTACTGAATGGACAGAGTTTGTTTCTGAAACATTTATGAGAAATACAACTGGAGACAGTTTAGAGGGTGCTGAAATGCATGTGAATTCTTCCAATTGCTCATTACTTTGGGAAAAAACAATTTTAAGCTCATAATAAATTATTGCAATTTGGGATTATGGTGCAAAGTTGTATATCTGGAGAACTTCACATGCAACAAATAAGTATGGGCATAAATAGTTATTCTTCTCTCTAGTGTAGAAGCAAGTTGAAAAAAGAGAGGGAGGTCCTGCTTGTGCTGGAGTTTTTGCTTCATTTTTCAAGTAAGGGGATATTGTATGAATAAAACTTCTCATTAAAAGTATACAATACCATTGCTCTTCTAAATGTAAAATGGGTGATTGCTGGCTCTGTTAAAGGGACTGTTGAACCAGTGAGGTTGGAAACCAGATATAACTGAATTTTCTGTAGCTCATAGGTATTGCTATGTATTAGTAAAACTAGCTAGATTTTTCTACTAGTGATGCAGAGTAGGAGGCTGGAGTAAAGTCATGGCAAAGTGTTCCTTAAGGCTTCTGAAAACCTCTTGCTGCAAACTATAGGAGCTGAGGGGGCACCTATTGCACATTTAAACTTTTCAGAGGGCTTTACTTCAAGACTTGAAAATGCCACATGATAGGAGGGTATGGCTTTCAGAGGGTGACCATTTTCCATGTAGTAATTGCTATTTTGTACTGCTAGTGACTTGTACCATTGTTTTTAATAAACCTGAGCCGTATGAGTTGGTGTCTTTTCCAGGAGATCGGAAGGAGAGCTGGGAAGATAACTCTCAAGAGCAAAAGAGAACTGCCTCTGTGAAGAGAAATAGTTCTGAGAAGGATGCGGAAACACTAACACTGAAGGACAGAACTGAAACCTTGGAAAGTCAGCCAGCTGCTCATGAAGAACAATGCAGAATAGAAAAAAAAAAAACAAAAAAGATTAATTCCGTGGGCAGATAACAAACTTGCATCTCAAGCTTTGTGCTTCTGGAGAAAGAGCTTCTGGCTTAAGTGAAGAACTTCATCACTGTCAAGCTGACTATCAGGAGATTGTTTCTGAATTGGACAAACAGAAAACTATAAATAGGGAACAAGAACAAAAGATTATTCAGCTAAATAATGAATTAGAAGGTGCTAAACACTCTCTTCAGGAAAAAGAGAATGACCAAACACATGCTATAGAATTGTAAGTAAATAATAAAAATAGCTTGTGGCACTTTGAGAATAGGCTCAAAGCTACTTTTTGTGAACATCAGTTTATTTTAACAGAAGACATTGGTGTGTTTATCAACTTTATTAACCAAACCGCTTCTTTAAGGAGTTTTGGCGCACTACTTGAATTCTGTATTTGTATATTCTACTGAGTGTGTTTTCCTCACCTGTTTAAGGAGAGCTGGGAAGAGAACTCTCAAGAGCAAAAGAGAACTGACTATGTCGAGAGAAATACTTCTGAGAAGCATGCAGAAATGCTAACACTGAAGGAAAGAATTGAAACCTTGGAGAGTCAGCTAGCTGCTCTTGAAGAACAGTGCAGAATAGAAGAAACCAAAAAGGATGAATTCCATGGGCAGATAACAAACTTGCGTCTCAAGCTTTCTGCTTCTGAAGAAAGAGCTTCTGGCTTAAATGAAGAACTTGAGCAGTGTCGAGCTGACTATCAGGAGATTGTTTCCGAATTGGACAAACAGAAAACTATAAATAGGGAACAAGAACAAAAGATTATTCAGCTAAATAATGAAGTAGAAGGTGCTAAACAAAATATAATTGATAAAGTGTCAAAAATGAAAGCCATGCAGTCCAAAGTAGATGAGTCGTATAAATGTCACTTAGCTTCTTATGCTATGGATGTTGATTTGGTTAATCTAAAGGATTCCTTAGACTCTCAGAAAGGTGAACCAGAGAGAGCTCAAATGAGTCTTTCAGAGATGCAGTCCCAAACTGCTTCTACAGCAGATCTGAGATGGGAGAGCTCATTTCACTGCAGTATTGAAAGTATTTGGGAAGAATGCAAAAATATTATTAAGGCTTCTTCTCAAAAAAGTCAGCGGATACAAGAGCTACTTCAACAAGTTGAAGACTTAAAGGGGGAACTGGATGGCGCTGAGAATTATAATAGTCAACTAAAAATAAAATTACATGAGATCTCAAATCAAGATCATCAGTCCATAAAGGAAAAAGATCTTATGAATCAGTTACAAGAACAAATCCAGAAGAAGACCGAGGATTTTGAAAAACAGGCTGCAGAAGATCACAGAGTAATTGCACAGTTTGAGGAGGAAGTTACCAGCCACAAAGCAAAAATAAGAGAGCTTGAATGCCTCTTGGAGTCTTTTAGAGCTAAAGATGACAGAATAACAAAGTTAGAAGTAGTACTTAAAGAAAAAGAATCTATTATCTTAAATCTAGAAAGTAATACAGCAGCTCTGCAAGAGAGATGTGCTAATTCAGACAAAAAATTGAAAGAACTGAATGATCAAGAAGCAAATCTGAAGGAGGAAATTCTTCGGCTGATGAACAGCTTGGAGAGCATGAAACACTCTCTTCAGGAAAAAGAGAAAAAAGAG